TCCTTGGGTACATGCAGCAGGGGAAGCCACCCCCCTCACTTCCCGTGCCCCCTGGACAAGCCACAGCTCTGTCCCGCGCCCTGCCCCACCCCAGCGAGGTAGCGCCTGCCCCAGCCCCATTCCCTCCCTCATTGCAGGGGCCTTGATCTGCCCCCACCATGCCCCTTCACCACAACAGACTTACCATTGCTCTTCAAGCTGTCGGGCTGCGTATCAAAAAATCAGATCAGTATCGGCTGATATGCCTCCTTAAAAATCAGCTATTGGTGTCGGCCTCAAAAAGCTCTCTGTGCACCCCTACCTAATTACAGTAAAAGCTCTGTTACCTGGCATCCCCTGGGAATGGGGGATGCCGGATAACAAAACATGCCAAGTTAATTGAGCGGCCCCAGCCGCCGCTTCTCCCACCGTGTCTGTGGTGGGAGGAGCAGAGGGACACCCCATAGCCACCCCTCCCACCGCATTGCCGCCCATCCTCCAGGCCCTGCGGGACAGGGAGGTGGGCCCCACACAGCCTGTTATGCCCCTGGGCTGTGGGGACTCTGAGAAACCGGAAGTGCGGTGGGCATGTCTGGTTTCACTTTATCTTACAAGCCGGCATGCCAGTTAGTAGAGCATGCCAGCTTGTAAGATGCCGGATAGCACAGCTTTTACTGTACTTGGACTCTTTAAATCAAGGCTAGATTTCTTTCCAAAAGATGGTCCAACACAAACAGAAGTTACAGGCTGGCTGTAATAATTTGTGTGGTGTTATATGGTCTATGTTATTCATGAGATTAGTGTCACCATTAGCCTTAACATTTATAAAAGCTATAGTGACAGTAAAGTGTGCATTTGTCAGAGAGGGGAAAACATTTGGGTGGCAGACAAAAAGAAACATACAAATTAAAATTCTCTGAAAAAAGTCTGAATTGGCCAACTCTAAATCTATTCATAATTTAATAATTCAAGTCCTGTTTAAGATTCATAGTGGTAAGGATTTCAAGAGACGTGTCTCAGTTATACATCATATGAAAACAAATTTCAAAGACAGTAGCCTGGTGTTGAATTGCAAGAACTCGCATGGGAAATTAAAAGCAACAACTAACCATAATTGAATTAATACAGCTGGATCATCATGCAAATCACCACAAAACTAAAGCTCACCTGTACCTGACCAATTTCTTACCTGTAACACGTTACTCTCTGCTTCCTCCCCAGTGATCACTTCTACCTTCTCCAACAAACATTTCCTTGCAGTTGCTTTGGTATAGGCTGCTGCAGACTCTGCCAGCGATTCTGAAATATTATTAGCTGAACAACATTTTAAAGTTTATTTTGGGGGTTATTTACATAAAACTGCAAGACAAGAAGTATGCGCACAGATGCAGTTTGCTATTTACTGATGCACAAAACCAGTTAATAGACTTTTCCTCTGGAGCATAACTACCTGTCCAGATTATGAAAGCTTTCATCAGGACTTGGGGGACTGCTATATACAAAACAGAGGAAAGCAGTACATTAGAAACAAATGTAAATTTAAATTAGGCAACTGTCCCATTCTCCACCTTTCCCTCCAGCAGCAGTTTGTCTTCCATTTTAAAACCATAAATCAGAAGTTGAGGGGGAAAGATACCAGTAAATAAAAATCTGGTCCCTTCCTTAAGTGTCACTACAAAGAGGACCAAATAAAACCTTTGCAAAGTAAAGACTTATTCCCACATCTGCAAATATGACAATAGTAACCAGTTACAACCATGCCTGCATTTAAAGATCCATCCATATTTTTATACACTTTGGAGAGAAGGAAAGCAAAAAAGTGAAGACACTCTTATCCATATATCCACTTTTAGGACTCCCCAAAGCATGGGAGCAAGCACTCCCCCTGGCATCAGAGCCACAGCACTTCAGTCACAAATATAAACTGGTTCCCAATCAATGATGTTTTGCAACAGTTCAGTTTTATATGACTGCACCCTCAGCCTGTCAACCACTGTTTCTAAATGCAGCAGAGTAGCTTCAGTAGAGGCAATATTGCCTCTTCCCCTAGCAGCTTGCAGGCATCACAAAAGAACATGTCACAGGTCCACTATCGGCAGTGCAAGATAACTGTGCAATACAACCCCTTTGACCCTGACTATGACATATCCCAGCTTGTAACAGTTCATTTGTGTGGACAAGGATAAGGAGGTATTTGCAAACCAGTTACACTGACAGAACCTAGTGCTGCTGGCCATATCACTCAAGGAGTTCTACTTGAAAGGCAGCCATAGTACTGCCGTGTGGCTTGAAAATGGTGCCAATCTCCACTGGCCAGTATTTCTTGGGAGTTTCTTGCCAGTAACTCTTGCAAGATAAATGTTGGAAACTGGCATGATCAAGGGGTTGGACTAGATGACCTCCTAAGGTCCCTTCCAGCCCTATTTTTCTATGATACCACAGTACCTTGCAAAGCTGTCCAACGCACAATGAGATGCCTGCCCCTCTCCTTAGTGCTCTTTGTTGTAAGCCTGCCTAGTGTGCATGGCCCAAATTATGTCAAATGAGTGATAACTATAGCTTGTTAGCTCCTATATCAATTCTATTTAATTCTAATTTATGTCACAATCAGAACCATTACCAGTTTGTCCAATGTTAGCCCAAAGCTTTAAAACTGGAGAATTCCCAAAACTCTGACATGACCTGCATTTCTCATCAAATGGTCTCTAGCTTACAGGATGAGAGGAAACTTCTAAAATTCAACAAATGAGTTTAGTTTTAGATTCTAAAACACTGGTCACCAACCAGTGGGTCTCAATCCACCAGCAGATCTCAGAGCCTCTTGGAGTCAATCCATGGCTGGGGTGTGGGGTTGAGTGCCTGTGTGCATGCACCCCAGCCCAGCAGGTCAATCAATGGGGAAGGGAAGGGGCAGGGGCTAGATCAAGGCCCCCACTGTGAGGGACAAAGCTGCATAGGCAGGAGCAGGGGTAAGTTGAGTGCGAGTGGGGCCCTGGCCGGATGGGACTTACCTGCTGGGGAGGCAGAGCCCCAAATAATCTTCTCTCTCTCTGCCTTGATCTGAACCCCCTCCTCACAAACTTACCTGCTGGGGGGGGCGGGGCAGGCAGGCTGAGGGTGGCAGCACACAGCAGAACTTGGATTGCTTTTAAATGCCAAAGGTGATCTTCTACTTAAAAAGGTTGGAAACCACTGTTCTAAAACATCTGGAATTCCCTATTTCCTTGGCATAAATTCTACCTATTCAGACTGTCACAAATTCTACCTATTCAGACTGTCACATAACTAGCACTGAGGCTGGAAATGCTCTCCCTCAAAACCAGTACCAACTAAAAAACGTTTCTTGCCACCATTCCTGATGGACAGGACTGACCCTACGAGCTTCAACGTCATGCCACTTTCTCACTGCTGCAGATAATCCTTATGCATAATAGTTCCTTCATAATAGTTCCTTCCAAGTGCCAGAGCACCCTGCAAGGACTATTAATACTAAGCGACGGGATCAGAAAACTTGTATACTTTTTTTTTTTTAATGTTGGGTAGAAGAACGACTAAAAACAACAGCAAAATCTTTATATTTTCATATGGTAATAGTACACTAACAACTCCAAACATTTAACAAGAAATATCTATTATACTAGCAGTAAAGAAGTACTGTTTTTAAGGATTAGTTCTCAAAGTACATTTTGTTATTCACCTTTCTCTGGAGTTGCTTCCTGTGAAGAAGATTCAGAGCCAGATTCTGAAGCAGTATTCTCCTTGTTACTCTCTGTACCACCATCATTTGATTTTGGTGGGCTCTGTTGAGGGGAAAAAAGGAAAACTTTTGATGTGCAAAAACATGGATACATTTATATGGTTCTTTGAGTAGTTCTCCATGTTTAGAAACTGTATAATAAGGCATCAGGATATCTAGAACCTCTCAGTGCACATAATTTCCTAATACAGATTGTAACCCTATCCTGACTGACCTAGTGGTGATAGTGGTTGTTGCAGTAGAGTGGGTAGGTAGAGATGAGATTGCATTGGTGATGTTTCCACTTGTGCACCAATATGGTAAGATAATATAATGCGAAGAGTGAGGGGGAAGGTGAGAGAGGGCATAATAGCACTGAACAGCAAAATTTGGGACTTTGCTACCAGCTATCAGCACAGAAGACAGTGACATGGGGTACATCAACACCTGTTGATCCTGCACTGTCAGGGCTGAAATCAGGGCTCCTGAACTATGCGGTATCTTCAACACTGAGTTGCCTTCTCTGTCGGACAGATTAATGCCATGTACCTAGGCCCATAACCCCTTCACCAAGGGGAGTCCCATGACTCATCTTCTCCCTCCTCAGCTTTGAGGGGTGAGGAGCTGGTGCCAGATGTCTCTCTGGAGCCGAACTCCAGTTTGTCCTAAGTACTGGACGCTGAAGCAGACCTGGGAGAGGGAAGCAGGCTGGGTTAGAATTATAGGGTTGGAAAAGGCCTCGTGGATCATTTGTCCAACCTCCTGCAGAAATGCAGGATGTATTAGTCCTATACTAAATGAAATAAATACCTTTTCAGAGTCCTCTTGCAAGCAACTTATGAAGGAGATGCCACATTTTCCCAACACAGCCTTTTCCACTAACCTGCTGTTCTAAAAGTAGGGAAGTTTTTTTTCTCCCACCCAACAATTTAATAAAACTGCTTTTCTGCAGTTTAAGAACCCACTGCTTCGTATCCTGCCTTGTTGTAGCAAGGAAGAATAGTTGCTCTCCCTCATCTTTATGGCAATCTTTCAAATATTTGGAATCCTGCTATCATGTCGCCCTTCATTCTGTTTGTCAAAATTAACATACTTAATTTCTCTTAGAGTTTGTGTTCCAAGATCTATAACATTGCTATCCCTCACCTCTGGATCTGTTCACATTTCTCCACATCTTAAATAGCAGCATACAGAACTGAGCCCAAATACTCAAGCAGAGGCTTAATGAATACCAACCAGAGTGCTATCATTACTTCTCACATCTTGTATCCAATACTCCTGTTTGATGCAGCCCAAACTTAGTTTTGCTTTTCTTGTGACTATCACACTGCTTACTCATGCTCAGTCAGTGATCTACCAAACTCCAAAATCTTTCTTAACAAGACTACTGGCTAGCTGGTTTTGCAACAACATAAGAACTGGCATTTCCTGGGTCAGACCACAGAGGTCCAATCATGCCCCGTATTGTGTGTCACATTGGTAGAGTGGCTACTAAAAAGGAACAAACAGGGGATGATCAGGGGTTTTTTTCCCTGACTGGCCCAGCACAGACTGCTATGGAACTCTACATGGAACCTCCCATTCTGACACTGATCAATTTATAGTTACTCACTGCTTACCATTATTCGGCCAGTTATATATGCACCTCTGTGATTCTACCTAGCCCATGACTACAGCAAAGAAATGAGAATGTCCCATGTGACTGTCAAAAGTCTAACTAATGTTCAAACGCCATATTTATTTCCATACCAAGGCCCCAGATAAGACAAGCACCTTGTTATGGGAAGGCAGAACGGGGGAAAAGGGTTTAAAAAGGTTTTTCCAGGGTCTTACCTGCCATGGCTCCATTTCACTCAGGATGCCAGCAGCTCACCTAAGGACTGAATGTTCAGGCTGCATGGAGCAGGGGTAGAGGCCATGGAATGTCATTCTTCCCCTCTCCCCCACAAACAACTACTTGTTTAACCCTCTCAGAACTTTAATTCAGTATCACCTGTGAGAGGATTAAGCCTACAGTTGTTGCCCCTAAAGCAGGGGGAGAGGGAATGTTGCAGACTAAAGGATTCTGCCCGTTCCATGCAAGCCTGGGTGAGCTGGTGCTGGACAGTCCCCTGCTGCCATTCCAGAACTCCCCCCTACCTCCATTCTGGCACAGAAAACTAATTTCCTCATTTAACATATGCACCCCCATTTCAGATGGCTATTTTTTGATAAAGAGGTACACATAGTATATAAGTAATGCAGTATATTATGTACACGGCATTTTCTTGATCCATCAAAATAGCTGTCTTGTCAAAGATGGAAATCAATTTGGTTTGGCATAATTTGTTCCTAGATAGCATGCATGTTGTCCAGAGGTTGACAACCCACAGCCATTTTACCCAACCCACAGAGTGAGGGGGCTTCTGGGGGCCCCTCTTCCCAGCCCTTTTCACCCTCCCATCAGAACTTGCCCAGATGGCAGCCACTGCCCCCTCTCCCCTCCACCCACCCGTCTTGGGCATTTCCCCATTGGGATACCCTCAGCAAGTAGAACAATGGAACAGGCTATGTCTACATGTAAATCGATATGGATAATTACGAGCCAACTCAGGGGCCTGAAGCACCCACAACCCACACATTTCCTGCTCTTGTCCCTCTTCATCTGGCTCCATTATTCAGTAACCAGCCAATGTTCGGGGAGTTTATATAGTGTAATACATAAGGGTAATGGGAAAGCAAGTGTAGAGGTGCTTCATACTTTCATCCAAAAGCAGTAGTTTCATATTAATATGCACAAAAATTACAGATCACTTTTGAAAACGTTTACTGGTTTGTAGGTAATTGCAATGAACATATGTAATATCTGTACCTTTTAACTAACAAAACAGCATGTTCAAAAAAAAAAAAAATCAAGCATGGTAGTTAAACACTGGAACAAGCTGCCTAGAGAAATTGTGGAATCTCCATTTCTGGAAATTTCAAGAGCAGGTTAGACAGATTCTTGGCTGGGATGGTTTAGTCAGGGATGATCCTGCTTTTAAGTCCTGCCCATGCTTGAAAGCCTCATGATTTTCCTTCCAGCCTTACTTTGCTATGATCCTACATTACATCCATTTTATGCCATAGATGCAACACAGAGGAAATTATGTCTCTGCTTCTGCTTTTAAAGAAGTTATGTTAGAAGTACATTAAGGAAATAATCCACCTATTTTCTGACATAGGTAGGAAGAAGGCAGTATAGAAGAGTGGCAAATTTAAAGAGGCTAGCATTCCAAGGTTTTCAAATTTCTCATTCTCCCTTCAGCACTCTCATTCCCAAAAAACAAATAAATAAAGAGTTGATTTGGAAGGCAGAGAGTTTTCAAAGAGCAATAGGGCAAAAATTACTTTTTCACTGAATCACGAAAAAGGGATGGTATGCAGAAGAATGGTATCAGAAGAATGGTATCATTCTTTTCTTAAAAAGAATACAATATTAAATGTCACTATAACACACAATGCAAAAAAGGACATAGGGACTTGAACGGCATATTATGCAAAGAAAGGTTTGATAAACTTCAGTAAGAGCTTGCAGCATCACCTTCAAAAAACAAGCTGAAGAAAACGAGTTACCAATTTGTACAAGTTATGTTGCAAATTTGATAGCTCTGGTAAACAAACTGTTCTATGACGGAAACTTTGTAGCAAAATTCATGCAAGTAGTAGTTAGTGAAATATATCCTGCAAAGCAGACTATAACAGTAGCTGTAAGTTTGTCAAGGTCAACAATCACCATAAAAATTGAGGATTTAGAACAGTACCTATTCTGTTAGTTGAAAAAAAAGACACAGCATTTCAGTACTTTTCACTGGCTTTGCACTGAAGTGCAGGTATTATTGATACAGTACAACTTCTTATATTTGTAGGTGGGATAGATACAAATGTCTAGAGAAAGAGAAGGACTTGTGGGTCTGCAACAGCCTGCATGGAACTACTACAGACAACATGGATTGGGGGGAGGGTTGTTTTTGAAAGTGTAACACAGAAATTAGGGTCTGAGTTTCAGCAAACTTTATAGGAGTAACTAACTACCAAAAAAAAAAAAAAATAACAACAACTTGGTTAACTTTGAGTGCTGCAGCAAACTCAGGAGTACATGCAAAATATTGGTCCCCCAGGATCAGTTTGAACTTGATTCAATTACTTTAAAAAGATTTTTCTGAGAAGTTTTCAGATATTATATCTCGTAAAAAAGACACAGAACTGCTCCAGATCCTATCACATGACAGGGCAGAAGGAAGTGAATCATCCTTGGAATTCAATTACTTAATTGCCAACTAGTTTAATGCTAAAAAAAAACCCCAAGCATCAATAGTCCTGAAGTCACTGGGCTTTTATTCAGCTCCTCTAGAAGAATATTCAAAGACTCAGCATGAAAATAGGTAGCTTAAGCTTAACCTACATTTGTGAGGAAACAATTTCACAGCTGAAGTTGAAGAAGTTCAGCTTCAGGTCACAACTGATAAGACTCTGATCTGCATTCAGTTGTGCAGACTGGAGTATCAAGTCTCACTCCTGACAGGCCTGCCACAAAGGCCAAAGCAATTTCACTTCTGAGACCAGGTGTGCCTCAGACTGCACCCTACACCTGATCAGCACTTTACCAGCTCTGCAGAACCCACTGTAGGGAAGAGCACAACCACCAAGCCTGCCGCCTCCACTGCTTCTGCCCAGACCACCTCAAGCAGTGAAGGCCCCTTCCCCCAACATCAACAAGTAGCATGAGATCTGCTGCCACCTGACCCCACTCCACGCCAAACTCTGTGTAGACACTGGCACAAGTTAATGAGGCTGCTGCAATCTCATGGCCACAACCATATGGCATAGTAGCACTGTTCCTTGCAACAGAGGCTGCCACCCAAGAGGCAGTGGAAAAGTGATCTCTGCTGGAGGTGTTGATGTCCCCCTCAAACTCCAAAGGACCTCTAAACCAGGGCAGCGCTCAGCTCCATACCTCCTCAATGTGGCCCATACCAAACCACTTCTCAGCTTGGAAAAGGTCACATCCCCAATAACATCCCTCCTACTAGGGTGCTGAGACCC